AGAGGGGGGCCCGCACCTGTGGAGATGGCTGGTGGGATGATGGGTTGCCCCCCCCAGCATCTTACAGATTTTTATAGGGCCAAAATTAGAGGAGGTTTTGGGGGGGTATTTTTAATATGTTTTTTAATTATTTATAGTTTTTAGCCATCTTGGAGAGAATTGTATTTCTTCGTTTTTATTGTGAGCCGCCCAGAGTCACCCGTGGGGGAGATGGGCGGCATACAAGCCAAATAAATAAATACATACATACATACATACATACATACATACATACATACTAGAAGAACAGTCACACCCCAGTCCCAAGAGAAAAAATGGGAGGTAGCTGAGGAAACTAATAGAAGTGCAGGTGATGGACAGAAGATTGAGCTCCTCAACTCTATTTTGCTCTGGTCGTCTCTCTAAAGGGAAACTGTATGCGAAAGTATACAGTTGCAAGGAACAATTATACAAGGAACAATTGTATTGAATTGTATTGCAACTGTATGCAAGGAGGGAAGAGGAACCCAAGGTAAGTAAAAAAATGATTAGGGAGCACCTGAGCACTTAAGTTCAGTAAACCAGTTAGCGAGACTTGGAAGAGACTCCTGGAAGCCCTTTCCTAAACGTCTTGCCCGCCTAGTTCCCTCACCTAATTCCACCCTAGGAGCATGCAGGGTGAAATTAGAACTCTTGCCTCTTTGGTGGCTGACCTCCATTCTGGGTGCCAGCCAATCATGGCACTCTCAACGAGGAGGCAAAGTAAAATCTCCCACAGCAAGAAGGCTCATAATTTATGCTCCATTTCTTTGGGAAAGCCATCTTTTTGGGGGAGGAGGGGAGGAGAGGTGCCCCTCTCGGAAATGTGCCCAGCTGGGTTCACGGTGTGGCACTAGCCCCATAGTGGCTGGCTGTCCCCGGCCCAATTTTCCATCTTCTTGGATTTGCCTTTTTTAGTATTGTTTTAATTCTATATATATTATGTATTTTATATATATTTATAGTTTTAACCCATAGTGGCTGGCTGTCCCCGGCCCAATTTTCCATCTTCTTGGATTTGCCTTTTTTAGTATTGTTTTAATTCTATATATATTATGTATTTTATATATATTTATAGTTTTAACCCATAGTGGCTGGCTGTCCCCGGCCCAATTTTCCATCTTCTTGGATTTGCCTTTTTTAGTATTGTTTTAATTCTATATATATTATGTATTTTATATATATTTATAGTTTTAACCCATAGTGGCTGGCTGTCCCCGGCCCAATTTTCCATCTTCTTGGATTTGCCTTTTTTAGTATTGTTTTAATTCTATATATATTATGTATTTTATATATATTTATAGTTTTAATGTCTTTGTAAGCCACCCAGAGTCCCCTAATGTGGGGGAGATGGGCGGGGGAGAAATCCAATAAATAAACAAAATAAATGAGTCTCTGGTGGCCGCTACAGGTCCTGCCCCAGACATTGCCGGATGTGAGACTCTCTGTGCAGTTGGGGACTGGAGGAAGACAAAGAGTGAGGCTGACCGAGCACAGGTAAGCCTATATTAGGACTTACCTTGTGGCAATAAGGGTGGTGAAGCATAATTACTTCTCCACCCTTATTGCATCTGCAGATAGCCACCCAGTGGCCCTGTTTCGGGTGACCAAGTCTCTCCTGGGTAAGGAGGAGACGAGGGAGCCCTTGCAGGGTTGCTGTGAGGAATATTCTCAGCATCTGCCAGGTAGTTGCTTGACTTCACTAGGAGTTGAACTCTGGCTGGGCAGATCCTTTGGAAGTTACTGAGCCCTGTTATCTAGGAGGATTTTGAGCCAGTTGATCCTGAGGAAGTAGACAGGGTCCTTGTGGCTGTGAGCTCAGCCATCTGTGTTCTGGACACATGCCCCTCCTGGTTGGTCAAGAGGTGGTTAATGCCTCTTTGCGGGAGAAGGTGGTGCTGCCTGCCTTGAAGGAGGTGATGGTGCTCCCCCTTCTCAAGAGGCCATCCTTGGAACCAACAGTGTTAGACAACTTTTGTCCAGTCTCCAGGTTGTTGAGAGGGTTTTTTGGTGCTCAGCTACAAATGGCCCTGGATGAAGCAGATTATCTGGACCGTTTTCAGTCTGGTTGAGACCAGGGTACAGCACTGAAATGGTGTTGGTCACGCTTGTAGATGACCTTTGGAGAATTCAGGATGGGGGTGGTGCAACCATTCTGGCCCTCCTGGATCTCTCAGCAGCTTTCAATACCATCGACTATGGTATCCTTCTGGACCGACTTTGGGAGTGGGAGGCACTGTACTGCGGTGTTTTTCCTGCTTCCTCCACAGCTGGTTCCAGTTGGTGTTGGCAGGGGAGGAGGGATCAAGCCCTAGGCTCCTGCAATGTGGGGTGCCTCAGAGCTCAAGCTCTTTAACATGAAATTGCTGGGGGAGGTCATCCAACAGCATAGGGTGGGGTATCATCACCCCAGTTATGTATCTCCACCCCTGACAGGATGCTATTGTGGTGCTGGCTGAGTGCCTGGATGGGGAGAAACCGGCTTCAACTCAACCCTGCCAAAATGGAGTGGCTCTGGGTTTTTGGCCCCCCAGGCCTGGGTGATATTTCATCTTTGACTGTGGATGGGGTGGCACTCTCCCAGACTGAGCTGGTACACAATTTGGGGGCCCTCCTGGACTCATGGCTCCTGATCAAGGAGCAGGTGGCAGCCGTGGCTAGAGGGGCCTTTGCAGAGATTTGTCTTGTGCGTCAATTGCGCCCCTTCCTGGACTGGGAGGCCTTGCTCATGGTCACTCATGCCTTAGTCACTTCCTGTTGGATTATTGCAACACACTCTACATGGGGCTGCCCTTGAAGACCACCCTGAAGTTACAACTGGTCCAGAATGCAGCAGTGCGCACAGTGAGGGGTGCCCCTAGGTCTACCTGTGTTACACCCGTTGCATGAGCTGCACTGGTTCCCAGTTTCCTTCCGGGTGCAAATCGAGGTGCTGGTTATTACCTTTAAAGCCCTATATGGGACCACCTCTCTTTAAGGACATCTGCCTGTCCTATCAGATTGGACAGGGTGGGCATGCTCCTAGTCCCCTCTCTTAAATGTTGCCTCTCATGGGACCTAGGAAGCGTGCCTTTTCTGTGCCAGCCCCTGCCCTATGGAACACCCTTCCTGCCCCCACCCTTTCAACCTTCTAGAAAGCACTTAAGACCTCGCTTTTCCTCCAAGTGCTGGGATAGGGTGAGATTGATGAGATGAATTTACTGTGGGCTGCATGTGAAAATTTAGCTATGATGCCAGGGTTTGTTATTTTTTTGGGTTTTAACATTTGTGGCTTTAATATTTTTTACTGTAGATAAATGCTGCTTTATCTTTTGGTTGTAAGACGCCCAGAGTTGGTATGAGATGGGCAGCTATATAAATATTTTAAATACATCAATAAGTAAGTAAGTAAGATCAGCACCCAGGCTGCCAGTACATAAACATATTGCCAAGAAGGATCAGAGAGAAAGGCAACTCACAGGTAAAGATCGGGCACTCAATCAGCTGGACCAGCTTGTCAACCTCTACCAGGAAATCCACCGTCACCTCGAGATCTCCACTGGATCCGGCAGTCAAGGCATCTACACTCCAAAAGCCACCCCAGGTAGTTTTGCCCAGAGAAGGCTTCCACTTCACTGAGGCCCTAAAACCCAGCATGGCTCTATTAGTATTTTTTACCGATAGGGGCCCTTCAGAAGGGGGGGCAGTGATCAATGGAAGGCAGGCTGCATTCCCCTCCAGAAGAATTGGTGTGCACCTGCAAGCCCCCTGCCCCCACTGGAAATGGCAGCAAGCCACCAAGAAGCAGAGGGTCCTGCTCCTGCCCTTCTTTGAAGAGTGTGAGGGTTAAAGAGAGGCAGGGCAATGAAATAAGGTTTATTCCTGAAATCTGTTTTGCTAAATTTCTGAAATCTTTTGGAATCACCTTATGCATCTTTTCAACTGCCCCACTTAATATTTATAAAAGTGACTTGTATTTTTTTAAAGATTTCTGTACAGCTGGTATGGAGCAGTGGCAAAACTATTCAAAGGTTTGTCGCTGCCCTGTTTTCTAAGGTTATTCTCTCCTCTGACCTGCTCAGCCACTTGGATTACCTAACAAATAACTGAAACACCTACAGCTTCCTTTTTTGTTCTGGCCTTGCCTGCTTTCCGTCTCAAGCATATCCTGTATACCACAGAAGGCCAATGGCATGGCCACAGGGAAGACCACTTTCAAGGTTGGAAACGTTAAGAGATGTGTGGTAGCTCCCCAAGTAGACACTCAAATTATCCCAGCAATGCCATGGCTTTAAGGATACCTTTGTGACATGGGGGAGGAAGCTACCGTCTTCCCTCTATAACACAGGACGCCTGGCCCTTCAACAGCACTAAGCCTTCTCCAATCCACAGGAACACAGGTGAGGATGAAGGCAGGCCACAAGCTCGGCCTTGGCAGAATCTGGCTGTTATGCCAAGGGCTGAGTCAGCTGCATCCCAACTGATGCTCCCTCCAAGCTGCTATGTGGACCTTCTCTCACTTCCCTAAACAAGAAGGGAAACTCATGGGAAGTAAGACTGGTTTCTCTGACAGCGAAGGAAGCTTCTGCCATCTGGGGCTCAAAGAAGGGAACTTGCAAAGGCCTCTTAAGAATTCAAGACCAAGAGGGCCCTGGTTTCCATATCCAGATACTAGGCAGCAAAAGGGGAAGGCAGCCACACAGAGGAATGCACACCATCTTGCTGATATAGAATGGCAGACCTCAAATAAAATGAGAGCGTTAGGCCACTGGTCCTCAGGGTAGGACAATGAGCTGGGGTAGGGAGCCATTTCTACAGAGTTTTTGCAAGAATATACAGCCATGCCCCACTGCTATGGGAAATGATACCTGTTAGTCGGGGCAGCAAGAACCATCACTCAATAGAAAAGCCCCTGCTTGCATCCAGAAGGCTGCTGGCTCAATCCTAGGGGCACCTCCACAGGGACTGGAAAAAAGCCTGCAGAGGCTCCAGGGTTGGGCTGACTTGGCAGAAGGAGAACGGAAAGTCTTCAGGAATGCTAATCTCTAGAAATGGTCAGGTTAGTCAAGCTCTAGGTTGGGCAGAGTTCAGGGGGCCATTCTAGGGAAGCTCACTGTACCCCCCTCTGCCAATACACTTAGCAATGCTTATCCTCTCTTTTTTAGACTGAGCATCACCACCTGCTTGGGCAGAGCTCCCCTGACAATGGTGGCTGGCTTCATCCGTGGTTGCCAGCACTGAACTACTGAAGAGCCAGATGGTCAGTAAGATGCTGAAAGCCTCCAGGCAATATACATGCTTGTCTTCCTGAAGCAACTGCAGTGGTCCGTGAATATTCCTCCACTGGTGGAATGATGTTCTAAGCAAGCAGTGGAGGAAGCAGCAATGTGGGGTGAGAAAAGGAATACAGTGGTACCTCGGGTTACGAACTTAATTCGTTCTGTGACTCTGGTCGCAGCCCGAATTGGTTGCAACCCGAAGCAAATTT